GCTGTGCCCACCACTAAATATCCATAATCTTTCAATTTTATACAATATATTTGGTATCTACAAGAGTAAAGTTGGACTTACAAACAAGCCTCAGGAGCGTAACTCGTTCGTAAGTAGAGGAGTACCTGTATTGGAAGCAACTCAGAATGTAAGGTTACGATAGGCTCCAAAAATACCGGAAAAATTCTAGAAAAATCATTTTTTTTTCCATCTAACATAAACCCCTTTTTTTTTACATCTCTATTTGTAATGGTATGGTGCTGTATTGATTATTTCTGCATAAATCAATCTACTCTATAGGACTTAAGTTACTTAGCTAGAGTTGTTAAATAGGGGAAAAGGTTGGACTTGAGATACTTACTTCTTTGTGGACAAGCCCTCTGCAAGTCACTCTTGTTATTAAGTCAGCCCTTATCTACAGAGATAGAACCTCCATCCTTGAAGGGCAGTTTTGTGCTATCAACAGCTATAATCAGGACTTACAGTACAAAAGGTCCCCCCCCCCTCCCAAGAAACTGCCATTGTTCTTCAAAACAGATGGGATATTGAATCATGAAGAGAATACTGTCCTGTACTTGTCATCATGCTCACCTATCTCAGCCACATCATGTGATTGCAGACCAATATCCTTCATGTCAACGCTGCCATTGGTGGGGGCCAGATGTACCCTGTTGTCTGCTAACACACTGCCTGCTTTTCATCTCTTGTTTATGCTCTTTTTTTTCATTATTGGTGAAAAATTGGACTACTGTGAGTGGGAGGTGTGGCAGGCATGAAGAGACTTAATCCTGGGTTGCACTTTGGTGGTGGGGGCAGGCAGTATCTGTATCAGGTGCAGCTTTGGTTGGTATTATTATTGCTTGTATCAGGTGCAGCTTGTTCTCCCTCAGGGTTTCACCGCTCCATGGGGGCTCCATGGTCAGTGGTTCCAGCTGTTTGCTCATATGGCTCCCACCACCTGCTGTGCATTGGGTTCTGGACATGTCTACCAGTCCATTACCCCTCTGCAGTACATGAATGTTTGATGGTTTGAAGTGTAGCTGCTGAGTAAATACAGCCTCCTGTCTTTAAGGTCACTCTTTCAATTCTGGGGCACTTCGAGTCCACTCATCCAGGTACTGTACTGGTAAAAAGGTACAGTACATACAGTGAACCCTCGAAGATCCGGACTAAAAGGGGGGACCACCTGTCAGAAAAAGCCGATTGTCCGAATCTTCCGGTGAATGTGCTAAATGTATAAAAACGATAAATAATGATACAAAAAGACATAAAAAATAATATGTATTATCATGACCACTGGGGTTAGATATACAGATTTTTTTGTGAAAAAGCCATAGTTTTTAGCAGCAAATTACTGTACTACACTAAAGGACTAAAATTTTTATCTCGTGTGCAAACTATGTGATGTCTGTACTCAAATTATTGCTATCTTGCAAGGAATCCAGCAATGCAAGTTATATTTTGCTCAGTTTAGTCTGTGACATTTTATAAGATAAAAATTTTAAGCCTAAAACTACCTTCACCCTGTTTTGGGAATGCTTCTTAGGGAGGCTTCTTAGCCCAGAACCCCCAAATTTTTTGTCCGAATCTTCCAAAATCCGGATTTACCGGGTCCGGATCTTCGAGGTTTCACTGTATGTATAGTGATGTATTGAATTATCTTCCCATGGTTTTGATGAATACGTCACGGAATGGTTGAGCCATTTGACACACACATGTGTGGAGCCCATAAACAGTTGGCAGGCCTGTGGAGCCTTGGAAAGGGGTCACCAGTTACACTATTCATTGTGTTTGGTAGTCAGGTTTCATTATTCAGTGATATCTCTGTTAACTGGAACAATTGGTGCAGAGCACTTCCGGGGATGAGAGATTTCCGGGTAACGAGACGACTCTCTCAAAGCCGGAAAAAATCTCTCATCCCCGGAATTTTCCGGGTAACAAAAATTTTCTCAGAAGTTCCAGAAATTTACCATTACATTATCTCTCGAACCCGGAAAATTATCCCGCATCCGGAATTTCCCGGGCAACGGAAAATTTTTCTCGGAATTTCTAGAAAATGTGCTTGATTTTCATCTCTCAAACCTGGAAAAACTCCCCCATCCCTGGAATTTGCGGGTAATGGGAAATTTTTCAGAATTTTCTGGAAAACGTGCCCTCGGAAAATCGATCCCAAAGCCAGAATTTTCTGGAAAGTTCCGGCTTTGGGAACGATTTTGAGAGAAAATTTCAATTCCGGCTATCGGAGAGTTCTGGGTTTGAGGGATTCCGGCTAAGGGAGATATTACTGTACTTTGGCCAAAGCTGGGAAGATACAGTACCGGGTATTTCATTCTCTCACTGCACCCTGATTTAAGAAATGGTTCAGATCCTGAAAACCCTACATAAATTGAAGCCACTGTCTGCCATTAAGAGTTTTAAAAGATATCCCACACATTTTGAAAACAATTATGGGCTAGTAGAAACTTGTGTGGGCGAACACCATATACAGTATTTTGATTCAACAGCCCTTCCAACACGCACACAAGATGTTCTTTGAACCTTTTTTTTTTTCACCTTCAGTTTGCTGAGGTACCTTGTCCATAAACCCATTCTGTATGGTTACTGGAGAAATACAGGCATCTACGGATTAATAAATGGCTTCTCTCAATGTTTTTTTTGTTGTTGTTTTTTTTGTTAGGTTACTATATATTGTGGGAGGGAGGAGGGAGAGAACATAACATGAGACGTCACGTTTGATTCAACGTATCCTTTTATTTTTGAGTCAAAATACAAATTATATATTATTTTTTACTGTTATTGAAGGCTATATTATTTATGATGAATTGTATGCCATAAGAGGCTGATCATAGTAGAATATAATAATTAAAAAATACTGCATTCAGGTCAAAAACTGTCCTTGACGGCTGTCGACGGGAAGGGAAGAGATTACCTTCTGATACAGCTTGTCCTTTTATTTTTAAGTCATAGTACGTATTATATATCGTATTTGTTCTATATTTAATATATTATTTATTAAGTAATATACACCATAAGAGGTTGATCATACTAGAATATAAAAATAAATAAATAAAAACACACTGGCAAATGTGGCAAGGCCAATCCCACTCCTTATGGAGGGAGGGGGTTAGTGGTAAGGGAAATGGATTTCCTTGTGATTTGGTTTGTCTTTTATTTTAAAGTCAGATTATTTACTGTACTATATTGTGTTTTGTTCTATTATTTATTACCGTATGTTATATTTTTTACATATGATGAAACTTACAGCATAATAGGCTAATCATACGAGAATACGTTTGCACATCAAGTGTCATCTCGTACCTATTAGCTCTCGTTAGGCCTTTTTCAAATCTGATTTGATCACTGTACACTATCCCCATTAAAGACATTATATGCTCTACTTAAAATGCTAGCTATTGTTTATGGGGCATTTAGGTATGATTGCATAACACAAAGTTGGAGAGAAGAGAAGAAAAGAAAAGACAAAGAGGGAGAGAGATATGAACACCATATACATTGTGGAATCTTGATAATTCACGAAATACAATTCGCACCATGCCACTGAGCGCCAAACTAAAAAGCACTCTGCCGCTCCTCTAATTGTCAGATCAACAGGGTAGTCAGAGAAGCTTGCGGAGTATTTTCTTGTTATATAATTATCGGTTATGCAAAATGGTGGTCAAGGGAACATAAGTTTGTTGGGGTATACATGTAAAAAGTTAATTTTTACATATTAAATGCAGTTATGAATACTTTCATAAAGTATTCACATTCGCATTTACACTTTGCTTCTATTCTTGTATTCACTCCTTCCCTGGTGGTAATGCACATTTGCTTCTTGACTCAATAATCCTTCTTGACTGACAATGGTAATTTCTTAGGGAACATTTTGTAAGGGCCTTGGTGGTAGCCACTCTGCCAAGGTGATAAGAGATCCACGACCATAGGCTGAGGCTGGCTGACAACACAAGGCAGCCACTTTGATCTTGCCTATAATTTGGGATTTCAGGATAAACTCCCCAGTTATCTGATGATAATCTTCTACAGTCATTTGCAATTTACAGTACCATACAGTACAGGTACAGTCTCGTTCAAGATTCTTTGAACACTGTTGGAGACAGCTGGCAACTCAAGGCCGTTTGTTTACTATAGTACTTAGTAAAAATTATGAATAAATGTAAAAGTGATCAGTGATTGGTTATTAGTTCCCCGTTGCTTAATTTAATGGTTGGGCTTTGTTGTTTCATTTTATATTATACTACGTACAAAAGTAAACAAACGGCCTTGAGTTGCCAGCTGTTTCCAGTAGTGTTCGAAGAATCTTGAACAAGACTGTACATCAAGCCCAGACAGGGACTTTAAACACTCCATGCTCATTTAGATGTCTTATGATATTGAAGGCATACTAAGTATGTATTCTAGGTGGCCTGAACCCAAACTTGTTTCTTGATGCACCCGGTATTGTATTATTAACTCTGAATTAAATTTACCTGATGGAACTCGCCCAGTTCAAACATAACATTCTGTTTCAATCTAAATGACCCTGGCATATTAAGGATTTATTTTGAATACTTTTTAAAGTCTTGTTTCCTTATTACCATAGAATTGGAATGTGTAATAATCTTATTCTGCTGACAGAACAGCATCACATGACTAAAACTGTCCAGCTGCCAGATGCACTACTGTATTTTATACCTGTATACTGTATATCTTGATCAATCATTCATTTCTGCTGACAGACACTTGGTAAATTTTGATCTGAACTAATGACCAAAAATAAGTGTAGCACACCATCAACTGTAGTACCTAATTTTGTGGAATGTAGAGAGACATGTATTAAAATGTTACAGTATTTGGTGGGTTGCAGAATACAAGTAGGGGACCTGGCCCACATAAATTCTCTTTTGCAAATTGAAAAATGAAGCAACATGTAAATCCAAGTGCTGTATAACACTCTGTTTAATTTACTTTATCTATTTTTGTGCTTGTGTTAATTGTTTCAGTGAGCTGCTTCTAACTCACTAGAGACTTGACATATGAAAGAGCAACACTGTAGTGACAGCAATAACTAGGGAAGTATGCCAAAGATGTTAGTGTGGTTGAGAATGGCTTTGAAGGTCTAATTTAAGCCCAAGCCAGTCTACAGTACATAGCTTGTAACTTGTAAAGGCTTCCTTTTTCAGTTCAGATAACTTGTCAAAACTTTACATTACTGTGCAGTGTGATCATTTGAGTTGGTTGAAATTTGTTGTATATTAGAAAATGGTTATGCAGAATTAGTACAAAATTATTAGATTTTTTAATATAATTCAGAATAAAATATAATATTCTAGCTTTATATATTATAATTCAACTTAACTGTAGTTGAGGAATCTTGTATTATGTACAAGTTTTTGTTTGCAGGCCAGTACTGTATGCCACCAACCATATGTTGCTTTTCATGTGAAAACCATTTATTTAGTATTTAGATGAGTTAAAGACTCAAAGGCTAGTTTAAAAGTTGTGGAATTACAGAGTGTGGGACTAGGGTTGATCTAAAAAATTTAATGGCAGGGTAGCCTGTATTTTAATATTTTTTTTATTGACACTAGACACAAGCAGATCATCTACAAAAAAAGCTGGGATTTTTCAGCAGAAGAGAGCTAAATATGGGATGGGGTATATACCCCACCACATAGGTATACAACTGTACTGTGTTGGATATGATTGGATCTTTTTATGCTTACCTTTTAAATGCTTTAAATACATTTTTCAGGTCATATAAACACATTGTCCTATTGTATTGGTGCTTTCTGTTTTGTATTTTATTTAATAATATTAGTTAAGAGCTTAACCCTTTGGCTGTTCTGTACTACACTATAACATTTCTGGTGAGGTTCTCAAAAGTGTTAATTAATGAAAAAAATATTATAACGTCTTATCAATATACCTGTATTACAGTACAGCAAATTTAATAATATCTCGCATAGGATTTATTATAACACATAGTTATTAAGATGGCCAACACTGATGTATAGTACAGTACTGTACATGTACTGTACACTACAGTACTCTGAAATGTTGAAATTAAATCTGAAATGCATGAAAATGGTAAACAAAATTATTGTAATACAGTATACAGTGAACCCTCACTTTACGCGGTTAATTCAACCCACGGCGGCCCGCGTAAAGTGAACAACACAACATATGGGATTAATTGAAATGGAGACCGGGCTGACCCCCAAACTCCACTTTTTCAGACACAATACCTACGTTGTAGTAAAAATAACTTCTTAATTTTATGATGGTATGCACACACAATTAATAATTAAGAGAAATATCAATAATATTAGGTTTTTTAACACTTACATTAGTAGAAAAGATGGCTGAGCACACGGGGATGGGGGGTTCCGAGGCAGAGGGCAGATTATTGGCCCTCACCTGTATCACTTGTATCAATTGTATCACTATCCACCACAGAGGCTTGCAGGGCCTCTTTGTCAAACCCCTCAAAGTCCATATAAGTCCATATCCTCACTTTCATTATCACTATCACTGACTTGGGCCGGCTGTGGTGGGTGGCGGGTGAAGAACTCGGTAATGTTTTGATGACTGAGCGACCTTGTGCGCACCCTGCTTGCGCCGCTCTCCGCGTAAAAGGGTACACACCGCGGAAAGTGAGCATTCCGGTTTCGGCAGGGTACCGCGTAAACGTGGAAACGCGTAAAGCGAGGGTTGACTGTAGTCTGGATTTATGCGGTTTTTGTTTACGCGGCACCTTGCCAGAATGAAATGTTTTAATTACGCGGTAAATTTCATCATTTACGCGGGAAGCAGCACGGGCAGGGTGCGCACAAGGTAGCCCAGTCATCAAAACATTACCGAGTTCTTCACCCGCCACCCACCACAGCCGGCCCAAGTCAGTGATAGTGAGGATATGGACTTTGAGGGGTTTGACAAAGAGGCCCTGCAAGCCTCTGTGGTGGATAGTGTTACAATTGATACAAGTGATACGGGTGAGGGCCAATAATCTGCCCTCTGCCTCGGAACCAACCCCCCCTCCCCGTGTGCCCAGCCATCTTTTCTACTAGCGTAAGTGTTAAAAAGCCTAATATTATTGATATTTCTCTTAAATATTAATTGTGTGTGCATACCATCATAAAATTAAGATGTTATTTTTACTACAACGTACGTATTGTGTCGGAAAAGGTGGAGTTTGGGGGTCGGCCCAGTCTCTATTTCAATTAATCCCATATGTTCTGTTATTTCGTTTACGCGTTTCTCGTTTTACGCGGACCTCCACGGGTCAATTAACCGCGTAAATGCAGACTATACTGTATAACAATTAATCTCAAGCATCTAACAGATGGCAGGAGGAGCTCAGCCAAGGGAGATAAAAAAAAATGTCCCTTGTAGATTACAGATAAGGTCACAATCCATAGCCAGCAGGTATAATTTTTTTTTTAATAGTATAGTCAAGTCGGCAGCCAAAGGGTTAATTTAACATACAGCAAAGCTTATTCCATAATACTGTATTGTACAGTACTGTATTTCTTTCTTTATATCTTATTCAGTGTACAATATTGGTTTATCATCACTCGTACATTTTGTATGCTGTTGTCTAATGTAAAATTACACAAATGATAGAGGTGTAAGAACTCTGTTTAAATAGTGCATTAAACTACTGTATAAGAATCTTCAACAATTTTCACATGATTTACAGTACTGTACTAGGAAGAAGACTAATTGATATGCATAGTTTTATTAAGAGAATGTTAATTTTTGTAATACTGCATTAAGAATACCCTGTATTTTATTTCAGACATTCCTTTAAGAAGTACATGTGTACAAGTACATGTATACTACATACGTGTGTCACAAGGTGCACATTAAAAAACTGGTTGGCAGCTGTTTAAGAGTCAAAATCGATTTCTAAGTAAAACAAAGAAGTGTTCACACAACAGTCGAATGGTGAAAAGTACAAAGTGAAAGGGTATGGGACACCGGCATTGGGTGATGCTGGTGGAGACAACAAGACGATGATGACACGTTTATACAAACAGTGAGACGAGGGGGACGTAAACACAAGCCAAAAGAGGAGCCAGAAGCATAAGCATAGGTTAAGGGCAACGTGTGAGGGGTGTAAAAAGGAAATATTTATTGTTTTGAATGCCTGCTTAAGCCGCCAAATTGAGTACATTCGGGCCTCCCCTCCCTCCCCTCAACATGTCTGATGATGAGGATAAGCCACCAGCTCCACCTGTCAGACTAACTTCCACCAGGTATGTTAACTGTGACTTTATTTTACAATTTGACCCAATCTTATTAACACTTGTATGTCCTAGAACACCAAGCAGTGCACCAGCAGATGTACCTAGTATGTCCTAGAACACCAAGCAGTGCACCAGCAGATGTACCTAGTATGTCCTAGAACACCAAGCAGTGCACCAGCAGATGTACCTAGTATGTCCTAGAACACCAAGCAGTGCACCAGCAGATGTACCTAGTATGTCCTAGAACACCAAGCAGTGCACCAGCAGATGTACCTAGTATGTCCTAGAACACCAAGCAGTGCACCAGCAGATGTACCTAGTATGTCCTAGAACACCAAGCAGTGCACCAGCAGATGTACCTAGTATGTCCTAGAACACCAAGCAGTGCACCAGCAGATGTACCTAGTATGTCCTAGAACACCAAGCAGTGCACCAGCAGATGTACCTTGTGAATTACTGCTCTGTTTCATTTTTCATTGGTAGAACACTCTGATATTCCACGACTGTGCGGGTATAGTGATATCTCCATTAGCCGAAACAATTGGTGTAAAGCACTTCCAGGAATGAGAGATTTCCAGGTAATGAGATGACTCTCTCAAAGCTGGAAAAAAATCTTTTATCCCCGGAATTTTCCAGGTACCTGGAAAATTTTCTCGGAAGTTCCAGAAATTGCACTTTACAGTAAGTATAGTAGTGTACAGTATATCATCTTTCAAACCTGGAAAGAAATCCCCCATCCCTGAAATTTTTCTGGATACCGGAATTTTCATGGAATTTTCCAGAATGGTGCATTATTTCATCTCTCAGAGCTGGGAAAAATCCCCCATACCTATCCAGAATTTTCTGTGTATCGGAAAATTTTTCTCAGAATTTCCAGAAAATGTGCCTGATTTTCATCTCTCAAAACCAGAAAAAGTCCCCCATCCCCAGAATTTTTGGGAATTTCCAGGCACCAGGAAAATTTTATCAGAATTTTTCAGAAAATGTGCTCCTTGGAAATCGTTCCAAAAGCCGAAAATTCGGGCTTTGGTAATGATTTTCCGAGAAAATTTAAATTCCGGCTATTGGAGTGTTCCGGCTTATGGAGGTAATAGTATTTATTTATTTTTTTTGATGCCGGTAATAAATAATGTTCGATTAATATTGATACAGTGTATCGCAAATATATCCATATAAGTAAGACCTCTCTTAGTCGTACTACAATACTCTGTATATGGAGCTCGAGGCTGTCCGACTTATCTAGAATTCTGACTTATGCGATATCCCCCCCCCTCCCCTCCATGTTTTCAAGCACGATTTTGCTGAAAAATCCCTTCCAAAAACAATATTAAAGTTAACAGTATACTTTTATACTGTGCTAGTTTTATTGTAGCAAATGAATCTTGAGGTGGAAGACAATGAGGGTTTGCTTACACTTACAATACTTATATTCAAACTTACATGTACAGCTGCTCCCTGACTTACAATGGGGTTAGGGACCCAAATCCAGGTCGTAAGTCTAAATTGCTTAAATAATACATAGAAAATCTAAAATGGGTGTCTTTTTCTTCTCAGCACCACAAAACTCTCACTTTTAAGCTTGCCAGCCATTTTATAGCAAATTACAAAATTTTTTTTTGTCAGTACACAGCGCAATCACTGACATTGGGACTCGAAAGTACGTAATTTGACAAAATTTTGGTATGACTGGGGCGGTCGTATGTCCGGGTGGTCGTAAGTCGAGTAGGTCGTAAGTCGGGGTGGAGCTGTATATTGTGTTACACTTTTCATTTACTTACTCTTGTATTTAGTTACACTTTTCATTTACTTTTATATTTAGTTACACCTCCCCCACCCCCTCTAAACGCCAACTATGGCATTATCGGAGGACAAACTGGCAATCCTTGCGAGCATTCTTCTCCGACTTTCCTTGGAATGAATGTTGCTCTTCCACTCAGGATGCCTCGGTATGTGCTGACAGCATTGCTGGGGTTATACAGGGTGGTATGAGTGCATTTATCCCATCTTCTACCAAAACTTTCACTTTACAATCACGGTTTGATCGCTCACCTGTTCTCTTGCATGTAGGGCGAGAGATAGGGCAAATGAAGTTGAGAAACTACTGTATCTTCTACTCCTATTACCCACTCCCCTTTCATTACCCCTCCAATTATTGCCACATTGCCTTAACTTCATCCCCCTCTAAGATTCGAAAGTATCTTGAACTCTCATTTTCTCTGTCACCTTGAACGCCGTTCTCTTTTGTTGGATCACCAGTATGGCTTTCGCCAAGAGAGATAGACTGGGGATCTGCTCTCCTACTGCACCCATCTTTGGTCATCCTCTCTTAGGGATTATGGGGAAACTTTCGTCGTGGCTCTCGACATCTCCAAAGCATTTGACAGGGTATGGCGCAAGTGTTTGCTTTCTAAACTTCCCTCTTATGGTTTCTCTCCCCCATTTTGTTCCCTAATTTTTAGCTTCCTTGGAGAACCAATGCATGGCAGTTGTTGTCAAGGGTTCGATCTCTCGCTCTTTCTCTATCTAGTGGTGTCCCAAAGGGCTCTGCTTTTTCACCTACTCTCTTACTTCTTTTTATCAATGATTTACTTCTTACTACGACTAATTCTATCCAATCTTACACTGATGATTCTACTCTTCACTCTTCTTCACATTTTTCCCTTCCCCCTAATTCTCAAACTAGATCTGTTTCTAGAGCTGATATTACATCTATCAATGCAGATCTATGCAGCATCTCCGAACAGGAAGGTAGAAATTTGGTAAAATTCAAAAGTAATAAAGCAGTATTTACCAATTAACACTTTCCAAATTAGATGATATCCACCAATCACATTTCAGGATGCAATCATTCTGCCAAATTCTAAAATAGATATGCTATTTCCTCTAATATGTCATAGATGCCACACATCCTCAACATTGCTAAACCTACCTCCCAAAAGCTGAGAATGCTGTACAGATGCCATAACTACTTCTCTCCTGAGCAATTGCTTCAAGTATATAAGGGATTCATTTGTCCTAACTCGGAGTTCTGCTCTCATATCTAGGGTGGCTCTTCTTCTGTCCAACTGTTAGATAAGGTAGAATTAAAGGTATTTCGTCTTATTAACTCTCCTCCTCTTGTTGATAATTCCCTTTCTTTTTGCCGCAATGTTGCTTCACTCTCTCTTTTACAGGTACATACTTTAACTGGCAATGTTCGGTGGATTTGTCATCCTGTGTACCGCCAGCAAGGCCGTGGTCTCGTAGCATTCATCTTGCCCGCAGTGCCCACCGTTTCTCTGTGAATGTCAGTCACACTAGAATAACCCGTTATAGTACACCCTTCTTTCCTCACACAGCCAAACTGTGGAATACTCCGCCTTCTGTGCTTCCAGACTCGTACAATCTGTCTCACTCCAAAACGCTGGTTTTCCGACATCTTCGTGGTGTAGCTTAATATACTGTATAATCTCTTTCTTTTCTTTTTTTAGTTTCCCTTTACTCTTATTTTTTCGCCCACTAGGCCCCGTTGTGGGTTGATGACCTGTGCCCAGGTGGGCTATTCCCCGTAAAAAAAGAAAAAAAAAATTACACGTGTATCTAGTATGCAGTTAACTCTGGCAGAGTGTCTTAAAAAGTACTCCACCTCAGCTTAAGCTCCTCAGCAGATAACATTCATGGAGACCCCAGCATCAATTCTGTCTCATATCTTCAGTTTCTTTTCAGTTGGTCGAGTTCTGAGCTTCATTCCTTTTCTCCTGGTGATCCTAATTGTTGTTTTTATGTCTTTATCTGGGTTTGATAGATGAAAATCAGGTACATTTTCCGAAAATTCCGAGAAAAATTTTCCGTTACTCGAAAAATTCCGGGGATGAGGGATATTTTTCCGGGTTCGAGAGATGATGGAATGGGCAATTTCTGGAACTTCCGAGAACATTTTTCCGTTACCCGTAAAATTCCGGGGATGGGTGATTTTTTCCGGCTTTGAGAGAGTTGTCTCGTTACCCGGAAGTGCTCTGCACCACCTGTTCCGGCTAACGGGGATATCACTATTATTATTATTATTTTGTATTTTTTTAATTTTTGTTATTTTTTGTTATTTATTTTTTATTTTTTATTTGCCCTCAAGGCCCTGTTGTGGATAGGTGACCTGTGCCTTGGTGGGCTAACCCCTGTTTAAAAAAAAGAAAGAAAAGTAATAATAATAATAATATCTTATTTGGCTAATGCCAGGTGATTTTATTCAACACAAAGAGACCCCTGTACACAAGGGGTTAAAGAACATAAGAGGCAGGGTGCAGAAGAATGTTCATGTTTCTGGTTCCTCTTGGGACTTGAGTTCCTTCGCACACACCCTAGCCTTGATGAGTGTGTGTCTTATAATTATGTATACATTATTTATTGTATTTTTTATAATTTAATTTATGAATGCATGTTAGGATATTATTAATAAATAATTTCTTAAATTAGCTAGCCTTGGATCTAATCTATTTTTTTACTGTAAATTACAATGTTCAGTTCTTCACATACAGTATTTTAATATTTGCAGGTCACCAGGAACATTAGTCCAATAAAATTCAGGAGTTTACTGTACACAGTGTTGACTTGTAAATTTTAAAGGGTATATTAATGTAGACTAATATTTTCAAGCACTGGATTTGTTACTGGTGAATTTTGGTGTTCTTGTGTTGTTTTCTTGGAAAAGGACCAACTGTGGTTCTTTGTCAATTTTACCAATGGTTATTTCAACATCTTCAAATATAATTACAGTAGCTATTGTTTGCTAGAAAATTTATATTTATAATAAATACAGTATAGTACACTACTGTCCTTAATTCAAATTTTTTCCTTGTTGTGGACAAATTGAAATTTCAGTGAGTGGTTTGTCTTTTGTATAAGGATGGTATTATGTTCAGTACTTTTATAAATTACAGGAGTTTGATATCACATTGACAAAAAAAAATTATTCTAATTCCCAGGACGGAACCAGTAATGGCAGTAGACATGCGGCCACTGCCCAAAGAACCCGAGTCAGAGAAGAAGAAGCATAAGGGACATAAAGGGGGCAAAAGACACAAGGATAGCGATAAACCAAATATTTCATATCCCACCAATTTTGAACACACAATCCATGTGGGTTTTGATGCTTGTACAGGGGAGTTTACGGTGAGTGTTGTTTAGTACTGTGTTTAGTTGTTTATTTTTTCACTATATTTTGGTGAGTGAGTAGGTCATATATGAGAGGTTGGTGTCTAGTTGCTTCTCAAATATAGTTATAAGCTGCTACAATTAGTCAAGAGGTGGGATGAAAGCTCAAAATTTACATAATATTATAAAGCTTTGTGATTCGGTTGACCAAAATGTTATCACCTGAATTATTGGTACATTTCAGTGTCAAGACTGACCAAGGTCTGATACACTGAACTGTCATAAAGCAAGATGATTCATTGTAAATGTCCAAAAAGCATATGTAACACCCTCATATTTATCAGTACGATACAACCTCATAAATGCTCCCATTTTCGCTAATATCCTTCTTACTCATGCTGCCAGTCCTCATAAGCACATATCAGTCAGCTAACATGGATTCACATTTATAGTCAGTTTTTTTCCTGAACCTCACTTACATTACTAGTACAGTACAGTACTGTAAAGTACAGTACAGTACAGTATGTCCTAATATATTTAGCAGTTGTTAATATGATTCAGTATTTTTTTTTTAAGTTTCATTGGAATTTCACTATTCTTCAGCACTGAGCACTGTACCTTTCTCCAAATTCCTTTCTTATGGATTCCAGCCACCAACTTAATCCAAATAACTTTTAAACTAGTAAGCACTCAGCTAATTATTTGCACTGTCCCATTCAGTAATGTTTATCACCCATCAGTTACAAATTTGTTACCCCTCCAGCACTCTTACTATTATGTAATTTTTTTTTCTAAGTGTACAGTAGGTTAAGAATTTTTTGCAATGACCCAATTTCCCTTAAAGGGAGTGTGTGGCTGAAGCACAAAATTCAATAATAATTGATCTATCAGTATAAAATTCCTGTTAGCAATTGTTACTATACCCTTGAATCGGTTCTGCCTAATCCCTAATCCCTGATATCTGATTTTCCCGAATATTCTTATAAAATTTCAAAATCCTACTTCTACATAACTTTTCTAAATTATGTTTAAATTCATGTGAAATTTAGGTAATTCATTCTTCTTGAATGTGACATAGATATTTCTGATTATTGCTTTTGTATTGGGTGCATGAATTTTTTCCTAACTTGCTGTTTTTTCCTCCAAATACTGTATATATAAAGATAAATCAGCAAATAATAAACCAAGCCAAATAAAAAAAAAATCTATATGTTCAACCATGCACAATATGTTATTCTACTACTTAATTTTTGTTTTATTAGAATCAGCCCATAAATGGCCAAGCCTTACGGGTTTGAATGTTAGAAAAACTCATTCTGAGATATGGGCCAATATAGGTGGCGTGAGAGCAACTCACGATCGTACCTCGCTCTCGTATGTTTGATGGGTACCTGACTCTTGTGATGACGGTTTCCTATGGTTAGCTTTCTGAGAAAGGTGCCAGATACTGATTTTTACTAAGTGATTGGTATTACTGTATAGTAGGATCTCATGTTTCGCAACTAATTGGTACCGGGTTTAGCATCGCGAAAGTTAAAATCGCGAAACGAGTGACATTGAAATACATATAAATAAGCCTAATCAGTTCCACATTGTCACCCAAACCCCCCTATAATGACCTACAACCCACCAAGAAAATGACATTACTGTAATGTATTCATACATATTATATTGTACATATTGTTGATGACAATATTTATATACAATCATACTGTAGAATAACTTACCTTGATGGGGTCAGTGAAATGCTTGATGGGGCTGGTTGATTGGTTCCGAGGCAGGGAGGACTGGTTACTGCCTGCTCCCTCATCTACACCTCCTCTAACCTCAGCATCAAATCCCTCAAAGTCTTGAGGCAGCTCTTCCACCAGCAAGTCACCCAACACTTCAATATCATCATCATATCATCATCATCAGTGGTGCCATCATCATCTCCTAAAGTGATGTTTGCCAAGGCATTAATAATATGCTGGGCCTTGTGCAGGTGCCGAGTAATAAGGGCCTGCTGACGAGCATTAACACTGGATATGTACAGTCGGCCACAGGAATAAGTATACACACTGTAGCTGTAAGGTCCGAGAATGGTTTGGTAATGTTGAAACTCAGCTCCCCCCACCTATTTTCTGTTTCCCCTTCTTTATTCTTCTATTTACTCCTCTTCCTACTAATCCAAACATCAGTAAAAAAAATATGGTTAGAGAAAAAGTGGGAGAGGAGGAGGGAGCTGTACGATAACTGCAATCCCATTCGGCAACAAGTTTACTACCATTGGATACAATATATTCCTTGTAATATAAACACAAGACACAAGTAAAACATTCACAACAAATGTATTTATAACATATATGTAGGAATAAAACATAAATTACAGATCATTTTGTAATTTTGTCTGTTCTGTTCAGGACAGTGTTACTAGATATTTTGTCTCAAACACGAACCTTAGGTGTATACTTATTCTTGTGGCCGACTGTACAAGGTCTTATATTCCTCCATACCTTCATCAAGGGCAGAGCACACAAGGTTCCGAGGATGAGGCCTGGTATCGTATTCTTCTAGCTGTTCAGTGAGGTGTGCGATGTTTGTAAGCAATTCAGTCAGCCGGTGTGTTGTAAGTTCACCAGGATAAATGTCATCCTCTTGTGTTGGGTGCTGATCTTCCTGTTCTTCATCATCCTCCAACACTTCTTCAATTGTCGGTTGCTGTTGACCAACGATTTCTCAAGATTTGCGTCATGTTCTTTCTGATCCCGACCTCCTATGGTAATATTGACAAGGTAGGGAAATGTGTCACGTAGATTCTCCTCCTCCATTATGGCTCTTTGAAAAATGGCAACACCATTAGTGACACCAAATGGTACACGTGTGAATTGATACAGTCTGCCATTTGCTTCAAATGCTGTAAAGGGTTTATCAGACTCGCTTATGCGTAGTTGATGGTATGCGCTCTTTAGATCAAATGTTGAGAACACGTGGTACTTAGCAAGAGTGTTGACCATGGTTTCAATGTTTGGCAATGGATATGCGTCGAGATTGGTGTAAATGTTCACCGTAGAAGAGTAGTCGATGCACATTCGTTTTCTGTGACAGCCTGAATCATCTCTTGCAATCACCACCTGTGCACGCCAAGGTGATGTACTTGATTCTATGATGCCTTCAGACAGTAAGTGTTGTATTTCTTTGGTAATGAACTTTTGGTCATCAGGGCTAAACTTCCTAGATTTGGTGGCTATCGGCTTTGCATCTCTTCGCATGTTTGCAAATAACAGTGGTTCTGACATACCTGCTGATGCCAGGCTTGTTACCAATGTTGGAAATCTTGAGCTCAGGTCTGGGTCCTCCATACTCTATGGCAGGGGTGGGCAAAAAATGGCCCGCGAGCCACATTTGGCCCGCCACTGCATTTGTATTTACAAATACAAGGCTTTACTTTGTGTTAATATAATACATTTGCATCTACATTAAGTGGGTGGCCCGCGAAGTGTGCCACCATTCATGAAGTGGCCCTCCATCAAAAATAATTGCCCACTCCTGCTCTATGGTAACTGAGGAGTGTTGTTTTGGTAAATATATGCCTAGAATAACATCACCACAAAGATTCTCAATGACGCCCAGACGTGTGTTTGGATAATGACTGTCATTCATATAGAGATCCACCGTACATTCACCTATCACAGAAGCCGTTGAAGAAGACATTGCCAGGCTTATACTTTGGGAAACGGGTTTGATGTGAAGCTTAAGCCGATGGGCCACTTTCTTGTCAATGAAACTCTCAGATCTTGCTGAATCAATAAGGCCGGAGATTTGCTTCCATTTACCTTTAAGTTTGTAGCAGAGCAATTCAGGCAATGAGGAACAGCAGCTGAGATGGCACAAAGAGCAGGAGATGAAATTGATGCCGTGACCTGTTTCTTACCCTTAGTCTGACAGACTTTTGCCCAGTGCCTTCTTTTTCCGAGTGCCTTCTTTTTCCACATGAAGAGCAATCACTATCTTTAGCTGGACATCTCGCCCGTAAATGAAGACCACAAAACCAACATCGTTTCTTAGTGGTCATACTAGCAAGTGTTTCCTCAACTGCATGTATATCTTGTTGATTAGTGTATGGTAACTTAACAGTTTCCTCCACACATCCTGAAGCTGCTGCAATGACAGGGCCTAGTGGCTGGAAGGCTTCCGAAGTATGCTGTGCAAGATCCAAGGCTCTAGCTCGATCAAAGGCTTGAGAGAGTGTGAGAGCCTGATTTTCCAATAGTCGTTGACGTATATTTGCAGAAGACAGTCCGTTGATGAAGGCATCCAATACTAACTCTTCATGATATTCTTCGGCTGTGACAGCTTTTAGAGTACAATCTTTGCTGAATCTGTGCAAGTCGCGAAGAAATTCATCCAGTGTTTCGGAAGGACGCTGTCGTCTTGTGGCGAGCTGGTGTCTGGCGAATATCTCATTTTTCTTTTACACATACACCTTTTCCAACACTTGTTTCAAACTCCGTAGCATCAGCAAAGTATTCATACACAATAGCAGACACATATTTTGTCAAACATCGTAGTTTGTCAGGCGCTCTGTCTCCACACTCACCAATAAAGTTTTCAAAAGTTTTACGCCAATGCTTGTATTCCTTCTCAGCAGCTGGGGAATTTGGATCAACATCAAGCTTTTCGGGGCAGAGTATGCGTTCCATGTAGAATATGAGTTGAATAAATTGTCGTATGATATCAAACACCTTCAGTAATCAAGGCTTTATTCAACTCATAAACCCATATACATCTGCAACAGAACAAAACAAAACCCAATTAGAACAAGAGAACATTTAAAGTACAGTCAACCCTCGCTTTACGCGGTCCCACTTTGCGCGTTTCCACGTTTACGCGGTACCCTGCCGAACACGGAATGCTCACTTTACGCAGTGTGTGTACCCTTTTACGCGGAGAGCGGCTGGTGGTCCTCTCGCACCGCGCCATTTTTGGATTCAAACCTCCCGCCCTCTCCTGCCATCCCGCCATGTTGGGTAAGCGGC